CCCCCCAGTGAAGGGGGCACTGTCTTCACTTCTAGCACCATGGTGCTGTCTGGGTGATATGGCCCTATGGGATTCAGCAAACAACTATGGAGGGAAATGTGAACACAACAAAGGCATTACATTAACTTTGATTTTTATAAAATAAACTGGAATCACTTTATTAAAAAATTCTCCAGTATGAACGTGAGCAAGAACAGGTTCATCTCAACACACGACAAGTTGAAATTTTATAGGTTTTTAATATTAACACATTTAAGGAAGTTTATTATGTTTATTGCAGAATCTTTTACCTTAAACTGATAGAGTTTTAGAGTCATTAATTTTCATTCTAAAGCCTATTTCATGACTGATGTAATTATTTGAATATTCTTAATAAATACAGGTTTCATGTGTTGGGAGCCAGTGACGTGTCTGGACATGGTCCACGCCACCTGAGGGTCTGGAGTCAGGGACTCGACCCTCCCCACAATGACCCTTGATATTGAGAGCCCGCTACATGTCTGGACATGGTCCACGTAGCCTGAGGCTCTGGAGCCAAGAACTCAATCCTCCCCAAAAGTTCCCATTAGAAGCCGAGATAAAGATAGTTACCAAGGTCTGAGCTCATGCAGGTGGCAGAGTGTTTACTCTGAAAGAGCATTCAAACAGCCTTGTAGGAATGTGGGGAGGGGTGCTATTCAGCAAAATCAACAGTGCCTGTATATATTGAGCTGGGAAAATAAACTAGAGGCTGGCAGCTGGCAGCAGGCACGAGCTGCAGCCCTCCCGATCCCATCTTTTTTGTGTCTGTCTTTTCTCCATCCTCACCCCTTCCTCAGGACCGTTCGACTCTGCCAGCGGGCTCCGGCATTCATGGAAACAAAAAAGTAAATTCTATCCACATGTTTTGGTATCTGAGTAACTTTTGCCTTCACTTTGGGCTTTGGGCGTTTGAGAACAGTGAGCACAGCACGTTGGAGCCACGACTATATTTACCTTGAAGTTTTTCTTTAGCTTTCAGCCTTACTGACGGTCACTTGGCTAATCACGAGTAAAGGGGAACCTGTATCTTGGACATTCTCCTGAGTTTAGAGCTATGTTTAGATCTCCAGCTTGATCTCTCTCACTTTTGCAGTGGACTATAAAATACTCAGAAAACCGTGTCCCAGACATTGAGCACACGTCGTGGTCATAACAAGCGGGCACAGCTGGGTGACCGCCCCTGTCAGTGTCCCTCTCCCCACCAAAGAGGGCACTGTCTCCCCTTCTAGCACCGTAGGTAGTGGCTCACGTTTGAACTGTGTGTACACGGCCTGAGGTTCATCCCTGTTTGTTTTCATTACTGCATAGTACTCCACCGAATGCAGGGACCACACTTATCCATTCCACTGCTGGAGTACCTCTGTTTTGATTCCACAGTTTGACCACTGCAAACATTCTCTAGTATGTAATAGGTGTGCCCACCTGCTGAGTCATGGGGGATTCGAGTCTTTAGTTCAGTAGATAATGCTAAGGAGACCTGCAAAGTGGGGGTACCAGTCTGTACTCCAAATGGTGTATAAGAGTTTCCCCTCCTTCCCTACACTTGGTCCTTTTAATTTTAGCCCTTCTGGTGGGTGCGGTGCTACTTAATTGAAATTTATAATTCCCTGCTGACTAATGACATCTGATACTTTTTTTGTACATTTATTGGCCACTTGGCCATGTTCTCTTTTTAATCTTGGTCAAGGTTGAAGGATGTATGTGTTCGATCTCTTGCCATTTTTCTATTGGAGTGTCTGTCTTTTTTGATTTGAAGGAGTTTTTTTAATCTATTCTAAATATAAGCTTTTAGGTTACTTAGCATTTTCTAGAGTTTTATGTAAATGGAATCAGACAGTATTTACTCCTTTGTCTGCTGGCTCCTTTCATCCTGGATGATTATTTTGAGACTTATCTGTGTCCTCGCACATATCAAGGGTTCATTGTTGTTATCACTGGGTAATATTCCGTTGTGGGAACATACTACCATCTGTTCGTTCATTTTTCTGTTGGGGGACACAGGAATTCAATAGTAAGTGGTGAGCAAAGGGCCTACCCTTCTGGTTGCCATGCTGTCTGTGTAGATTCAAAGACCTTAACCAGCTGGTCACTGTGCTAGTCAGGCTCGTTCTAACCTGAGCATCTGTTGACCACGCTGGTTAAAGAGAAAGGAGACAAAAACGCACTGAATCTGTTACAGGCCACACGCTGTTACCTCCCCAGCACGCGGTGGGCGCAGTGGGCACTGTTGGATCACACACAGCGGGTGCAGGGTGAGGGCAGCTGTCACTTTGCTGGTGCCTGTTGTTTGTGATACTGAGCAACGGTGCCAAACTTGAGAGAATCCTTTCCTAGGACACATGGATCTTAATAAATGAATATGTGAAGTCAATATATCTGAAAAATTCAGTCCCTTTAATTTTTTAGTTTTGAGGTTACATTGTTATGGTTTTTTATTTTGTTTGTTACCTCTAATCTATGATATTTTTGTGAATTGTTTTAGCTTCTGGTCTTAAGAGGACACCATCAGCCAATCACTGCCGTGGCATTTGGAAATACGGGGAACCCCCTTCTGGTCTGTTCTGCATCACAAGATTATGTTATCATGTGGAGGCTGGACGAATGCAGAGAGAAAGTGCTTCAAGGTAAGCGCAGACTTAAAACAGATTTTAAAAATGTTCAAAGGGAACCATGTATCCTTAGATATACTTGGTAATGTGAGGGGGTTGGGATCCTGTTTGACCCCTGTGACCTTGAAACCAGGTAGGGAGCTGGGTGCCCATGGGAAGCACACCAGGCCACTCTGACCTCCGACCTTGGCTGTGTGTGAAGCTGGTGTCCTGGGCTCTGTGGGTTTTTTTGTTGTTGTTGTTCTCACTCAAGGATATTTTTTCCATTGCTTTTCAAAGGAGAGAGGGAGAGAGAGAAACATCGATGTGACAGACAAACCTGGGTGGGAGGGTGGCAGCGCATGTGAGGCAGAGGGACTGTGGGGGCCTGGGCCTGCGTGGGAAGAGCTGGGCCTGAGGAGCCGAGAAGGAGCCCATGTGTCAGAGGGTGGTGGTGTCCGAATCCTGTCAGATGGTGGTGAAACGTCAGTGAGGACCACATTGAGAAGTTCCGTTCAGAATTTTTAGAATTATTCTTAAATCAACTCATTTTAAGCAACAGCCTATATAATAGTTTATACTCCACTTTCTTTAATTTATACTATGGTCACTGCAATATCAGTGTGTCACCACCAACATCTACACACACACACATGTATAGTACACACACATGTAAATACAAATATACACACATGTATGCAAATACAAACACACATGCACACACATGTAGCACCCACATACACATGTACACACATATTGCGTACATACCCCCACACGCTGTCCATACACACATGCACTCATATACACTATGTACACATGCACATTGCATAATACTCATGCATACAGATACAGCACACACATGTGCACACATACATACACACCATACACATGCACAAATAGTACATATAGGGAAATGCATACATAGCTCACACACACCACACACACACGTACATGTGTGTATAATACACACATGTGTAGTACATGCATACACACTTATACATATGATGCATACATTTGTGGCACATACATTCACATATAACACAGTACACATGTGGGCACACACATACAGCACACGTAGTACACATGTATGTAGTGCACACCTGCACAAGCACATGCAAGTATAATATGCACATGTGCCAGTGTACAGTGAACCACATGTTAGGTATCTGCTTCCCACAAGGTCTTTGTAAACAGACAGCTCTTGGTGTTGAAGGGGCTGCGCTCCCAAACTTTGTCTTTAAGTTGCTCTTGGGAGCCTCACGTGAACTTTGATATGTGGGGATCTCCTCCCAGGTCAGCAGGCACTGGAGGTCGGGGCTGTCCAGCGACCTGCACTCGGCCGTGGGTTAGAACAAGCTCAGTTTCCATCCTTCCCTTGGGGCTGCATGGGGAGTGCCCTCACACTACTGGCCAATTCTGGCCAAGTCCACGAATTTCCAGAAGAATTTTTATATTCAGTGTTTTTAATGCTCTCAAAGAGCCAAAGTCATGTGACAGCTCATTGTCACCCCGTGTGTCACTGAGAGGAGCTGACCCCCACGACACTTTCGCTGTCACAGTCCCACCTCTGATAACGACACTAACAACCGACCACACTTCCCCCAGGGTTGGTTCCTTGCGGGCTCATCTTGGACACCCTCCCAGGAAAGGTGCAGTATGTGAGGTTTGGTCCAGACGACCAGGTAGCCGCTGTGTGTGCTGGTAACAAAGTCCTCGTGCTGGATGTCCAGGTGAGAGATAACCTATGTGAGGGTGGCATGGGGGGGGATGTGCAGAGCTGGTGGGGCCTCATGGGTGCCGAGGTGCCCCTGCCTCTCGTCAGCAGTGCTCCTAACTGGGTGAGTTTTGTGAACCTTACTCGTGACCCCAGGCCATGGACAACCTGTGCCCACGGGGGGAAGTGAGTGAACACGTACCTCTGTCTTGAAATTGGAAGGCTGTCTGCTGTGAATGGAGACTCTCCATGAAACCCCGGTGCTGGAGACTTGAAACAGACACGCTCCGTGAAATGTGTGCTTCCCTGACACTCTGCTTCAGCAGCTGCTCGGAGACCTTCACCCTGTGCTGCTTTTGTTGATCTTTCAGCAAAATTTGCTTCCATCAAGAACTGGATTTTCTCACTTATTATTATTATTATTTTTTTAAATATATCTTTATTGATTTCAGAGAGAGGAAAGGAGAGGGAGAGAGAGAGAGAAACATCAATGATGAGAGAGTCATTGATCGAGCTCACAACCCGGGCCATGTGCCCTGACCGGGAATCGAACCCCAGTCACCTGGATCCTAGGTCGACGCTCAACCGCTGAGCCATGCCCGGCCGGGCTCTCACTTATTTCTTAATGGGGAATAGTTTGAGTAAATGTGTTGCCACCTGCAGGTTCTATGATCATTGAATCTTATATCTGATCCTGAAACAGCTTTTTGGGCCACTGTGTCAGACAGCAGGATGTGGCTCTCTGTTCCCTCTGATTTGTGGTCTGCTTGAGACATACTGTGGGGACAGGTTGTCCATGGCCTGGTGTCACGAGTATGGTTAACAAGCCGTTTGCCTGCAGAGAATTCCTTGCCATGTCCACGTTAAAAAACATAGGTTGGGAAGGATGTTAGGCATGAAATCTTAACGCATTGTATGTGGGAAATGTATTTATACGTTTTACGTTGACTGGTAGTAGAGCGCGCGATGAAAACTACCCGCAAACAATGTGTTAATTATTATTGGTGGGGGCCTGGGGTGTGCCAGGCTGTTGGGGGCACAGTCCTGTCTTTGAACACTTCTTGGCTCACATTGATTGTGAGATTGAGGCTTACCCAGGGAAGGTCAGTGTGGGAAAAGAGTCACAGACGGACATGGAAAGTGTCCTCAGACTGGGGGGCCCCCACACCTGTCCCGGGATGGCTTCATGGGCCCCCTGGTGTCTGAGCTCTAACATTCAGATGCTTTGTGGGCAGGCACCTGCCCAGGCTCAGCGGAGGGTCAGCCTCAGTCACTGTTTCTCTCTCACCGTCAGGGGCCGTGTGGCCCTGGAGGCCTGAGTTCAGCCATCTGAATGGCAACTCCTGGGTCTGTGTATAAAGAGCGTCAACTTTGGAAGAGGGAGGGTTTATTTTAACAGAAAGTCTTTTCTGCGGGACACAGGTAACTTCTTAGTGACAGTCATTGTCAGAACATCCAGTGACTGGTCTCCCTGTCTGACCCCCAGAGTCAGTCCCCGCGAGCCCAGCTGGAGGGGCACCAGGGCCCTGTGACGGCTGCTGAGTTCTGTGCGTGGCAGGCACACCTCCTCATCTCGGTGTCTGAGGACAGGAGCTTTAAGGTAGGGACAGTGGCAGACCACTCACAGGTCAACGGGAGCTTAAACCGTGTGGTGAGTGCAGCAGTGCAGAGCCGGACGCTCGCGCCCACTGCCTCCCACATGACTCTACTTCTGCCACATTCTGCACAATGGTCGCTGTCCTGACCTGCGGCCAGACATTCTGGCTGGGGCCGCGGGCTGAGTGTTGGGAGTCGGGTGGCGCTTACAGCCCCTCTCTGTCCCCACATTCCTATCTGGGCTCGAGTTGTTGAGTTATCTCGGACCACCTCCTCAAGTCCAGGGCCTTGGGGAGAAAACTGACTCGTCTCCATGGTATTAACGAGGGGCTGGAGCAGAACCATTTTCTAGAATCTGGATTCAGTCAGAACAAATTGGGCTCAAGAAGAAAATAAGTTAAAATGCAAGCTCAGTGCCTGTCCGTGTCCAAGTTAGCTAGTGTCACGATTATCTCGGCGACAGTGAGGATGCTACACGTGCGAGAGAGAAAAGTGGGAGGAACTTACCACACGGCTGCTCAGGGAGGGGCAGGAGGGGCCGGGCACAGGGAGGGACGGAGAGACTGGGCACCACTTCCACTGTCACCCTGAAACCTGTGCCTGGCACAACCAGCTGGAAGGGTGTCAAGTCCCTGCTCTGGAGCAGCTCTGGGCTGCACCCCAGCTCTCTGAGTACCCACTGCTGCTGACAGACATGCTGTGCTGTGCCTCACGCTCCTGTCTGGACATAATGGGAACAAGTGGGCTAACGGTGCCCACCACCTCCGTGCGTTGTGGGAATTAAAGGAGCTGATGATTGGAGAGTGCCACGTGTCTGTCTCCCAGTAACCGTGTGTGTAGGGCTCTCAGGCACACACTTTATGTGAGGTCTGCTTGCGGGGACAGCTGGCTTCGCGCCTGCGCCTCGCGGGGCAGGGTGGGCTGAGTGCCTGAGCCTGCCTCGCACCTTGGCTCGGGTCTCCAAACCCACAGGTTCTCATTTCTGGAAATGGAGTGTTTTTCTGTATGAGTCTGACATCTTCTATTCTGTGTGTACAGTTTTATTACTCTACTTATTACTTGTTTCTCTTTTAGAAAACCATTTATACAGGTTGATTTGTAATTGGCTAGAAGTATTAGTTGAAGCTAAAGCAATAATGGAAAAGTTTGAACTCTTCTAAAGGAACCTGTGTGTCTGTCCAAAGGTCTGGGACTACCACGCGGGATCGTTAGTGCACAGCTCCTCGGTGCTGACAGGTAGCCCTGACTTACATCCTTTCTGCCCATGTCTCCGAGTCTCCGCTCTCCCCGTGTGTGAGACCCGTAGATGGAGCATGACAGCTGGGGATCTGAGTGTCCCTCAGAAATACTAGTTTCACTCCCACCTGGTTTTCTTCCGTTTAACTTTAAAGCATGAGCCTATACGGGGCGTTCTGGGGGTTTGGGAGAGGTGTGGGAAGGTGCCGTGCACCTTTGCTGTCCCAGGAAACAAGGTCCCGGGCTGTGCATCCGCAGGAACAGCGCCCGGAGGGCCCAGGCCAGTGGCTGGGTTGCCACACACTCTCCTCAAACTGTCCCTTTGGTCACAACGGACACCGTCCACGGTCACACAGGGGACGGGAAGGTTGAACAGTGGGTGCAGGTGCAGCCTCCACAGGGTCCCCAGCACCTGCTGGGACTGGTTTCCAGGTCCCCGTGCTCCTGTGTGCACATCTGGTTTAGGGCAGGTGGCTCCTTTTTGGGATACGACCCATGGAAACAACGTAGGAAAGTTTAGGTGCCGCCCGAAGGCTCAATGTTAAAGGTCGACCTGGAGAGTGCAGTTCTTCAACAGCTCGGGCACCAGCAATCCAGGGATAAGACATTTCTCAGAATTGTGTTGGAATTATTTCCTGAAATTATGTGGAGTTATTTGTTAAGACATTACAAACTTGATTTTGATGCCTTTTATAGTTTTTAGGACAAGGAGTGTCTTTTAATATCCATGTATCTGAACCCTCCTTCTAAATTTTTTACAGTTTAGATTCAGAATATGTCATAAGTGAAATGACATCCTCGGCAACAATTTTTAAAAAGGCATCCATTTAATTGCTGTTTCATCATGAATCCCATAGCTTCATGACTTCTGGCCACTCAAGAACCGTCCTGGGGAAAGTCTAGCGCTTCCTGGGTACTTGCTGCCCTCCCCCGGGTTAGGAGCCACTGGAGTCAGTGACCAGGGTGGGGGTTTGAGTGATGTGGGCAGACAGGGGGGTCTACCTGGACCCCCGCTGATGGTAGCCCTGCCTCCCCCGAGCACATGAGATTCCTCCCGCTGTGCTCACCCAGTTTCTACTTCCTGGGAACAGATTGTTTCAGAATAGTCCAAACTTGACCAAAAGGAGTAAAACTGATAGTTGTCAGTTTAAACTATGTCAGTGCCCAAAGCAAATGTCCTCTATTTCGCAACCAGCCTCCCCCCTCCTGAGCCTCTTCCTGGATGGACGGAGCCAGCAGCTTGTTGCCGGAAGTGCCGAGGGCCAGGTGAGCGCCCCGCCCCTTCTAGTCCATCCCAGCATCACCGTAAAAACCACCCAAACCCGTGAAGAACTTTTGTGAGTTTATTTGAGCCAAGCTGTTGACTCCTGTCAGGAAGCAGGATCTCAAGGGATTGCGATAACGCCCCGAGAATGGCAACTGTGCACCTTGCTTTATCCATTACAATCAGAAAAGGAGAGAGGTCAGTGGGTTCCAAGAAACCCTCTGGTGATAGATGAGGGAGGCGGGAGAAAGCAAAGCCGGGAAACCTCTGGAATTGGATAAAACGTTAGATGAGAGACACACACTTCTTTACTCAGGTTGGTACAGGATAGTTAACAGTCCACAGTTAACTCAGGACAGTGGGGGGTGTGGTCTCCAAAGCCGTGCCTGTGCCCTGAGGGGTCTGGAAAAAGAAAATTACTCTGACATCCTAACGATAAGTGACCGTAGATGCAGAAAGACAGTAGACAGGGTCAGTTCAGGTAAAGATGGACCTTCGTCAGGGAAGCTGCTGGCCTAGGACGTGACTCCCCACCGTAAACTGCTTTTAGTTTGGGGCCTCGGCGTCTGTCTGTCCCGAACGCTCAGCTGAGAGCCTCTCAGCCTCACTGTCAGCTTCACCTGAACTGAACATTTTGAAGATACATGATCTTTTTCAAAACCTAGAGTTTTAGGCAAGCGATTTAGCTCCACTTCGGAGGGTGCGTGCTGTTCTCTTTTTAAAAGTCGATGCAGTTTGGGGATGACATCCCACCAGGACCCCCAGTTCTCCCCTCCTGTGTGTCTTCTTCATTTTCACCCAGAGCACCGCATGGCCCACTCTCTGGCCCCCCGATGTGAGGTGGTTGGTCCCCCACCAAGAAGTTCTCTGTGACCCCAGCTGGGTGTCCTCCAGTTTAGCTCAGTCCTGACACCATCGACCCCAAGGTTAGGGGCCCCATCCCACAAGACTGTTCCCCACCTCAGAGCCAGTCCCGAGTCCGGGTCCCAGGCCCCCGCCCTTCCTCCTCTGCTTGTCCTGCCTTTTCCTCCCTCCGTTCAACGAGACTGACATGTCTCTCACCTCCTTGGTCCAGCTGTGCATCTTCAGTTTGGTGCAAGGTCATCATTACCGTCGTGTGACTCGTGTGGACCTGAGCAAACAGATGGAAAGTTTCTCCACCTGCCAGCCAGGTAGCCTCACTGACCCCGCCCACCGAATCCTGCCCACGGCACTCTGAGCAGCCTGTCCAGGTCCTGCCTGAGGGCCGGAGTGGGGACAGCAGGGTCAGGGTCCTGACCTTAGACATCTCCAGGCACCGGCTGGTCTGCGAGAGGACAGGGTGGGGGTCCAGCGAACACCCCTCCTGTGGGTGGTTGTCATGGCTGTGGGGGTCCCGTGGATCTTCCACGCTGAGCAGATGTGCACTCTAATCCCGATTCCACCTTGACCGCCCTGCCCACATCCTGTTGCTTGTCACCTGTCCTCTCCCTCCTCCCAGTGCTGCCACTGTGCCGGGGCTCAGCCTGTCACCATGTGCTCTGCTAACTGTGATACTGTCACAAACGGAGCTGACACACCGGGAAGCTGTTATTTTACCTTTTAATCCAGCCAGCGCCTCTTCTGCAGGTGAATGTGGCCAGTAACATTCGTGCTGCAGCAAGTGTGGCTTCGCTTGGCCAACAGTCACGTCACCGTGGTTGTTCTTTAAGTTTGGTTTGTTTCTTTTTTCGCAGATGACTTTAAGCCCTTTCTTTTTCAAACAGGTCAGAAGTTACCTGTATCCAATGTATGTATTTTTCCTAATGCTCTAAGTCTTGGCTTTTATGATTTCTTGCATCAACGCCCACTTAATATGAACTAAACCTCAAACCCACTACTCCCTCCCTCCGTGGCCTGTGCTTGAGGCCCAGCCACCCCCTGCAGCCCTGTGACGGGCCCACTTCTTGTCTCTCACCTGGTCTTTATGACGAAGGAGCTTTGCGTCCTCTTGGCTCCCGACCTGAGTGTTTCTACCAACCATTTTAACCTGCATGTGGGATTGTCATAGCTGTTCCCAGGAGAGAGTGCGCTTCCCTCGGCAGGCGAGCTGAACGGAGGGGACCTGGTCGACATCACGCTTCCTGTCCTGGCCCTGGCGCACTGCAACCTGTCACGCGTCCTTGGTCCTGGACATGAGCGGTAAGTGTGGTGAGCTTGGCTGGGACCACTGGAGGAAAACCTCAAGTTAGGTTTGTTTCTTAGAATGATGGAATTAAAACCCAATTATTTTAGTCTGTTTGAGTAACTGCAAGTGTTCTTAGAATTGCCTATTGTAAGTCTTAAAGTTGGCAAACTTAGTCACTTATTTTAAATTCATTTAATAAAAGAAATGGGGTTATTTTAATTTTGCTCATAAAATCCAGGCAGACCTTGACTTGTGTAATGGGGTGAAGGGGAGACGTAGTTACAACTCATCCTAGACTCTCTCTGTCTGTGCTGCATGTTACGTGTTTAACATTGACCTCAGATGAGTTTTATTTATCACTGTATTTGGTAGAAATATTATAAATATTTGGCCACGTAAGGAAGCCACTGTTTAACTGTGATTAAAGGACAGGCAGTGAGTGTGTTCGCCTGCAGCTCAGAGCGTGGGAGGTTCTGGAGATGACTGAGGACTCTGGTCCCCGACAGGAGGCGAATGCTGGGGGCACGTGCAGGGTGCAGCCCTGCCTGGTGGCCCAGCTGGTGTGGCCCTGTCCCTGCACAGACGCCCCTTCCTGGCTGGCATTGCGGGTGGAGGCTGGGACGGAGCAATTGCTTTGCCGGCAGTTGGGCCGACTTAGGGGTCTGAGACTGTGGACACCACCTCGCTCAGAGCAGGGCAGTAATGGGAAGGGAGTATACCATGTCACAGGGTCCGGTTTCCGTCTAGGATGACTCGCTTGGTGGCCCTGTGGTCTGGCTTTGGAGGTGAGGGTGCCAAGAATGAGTCCTGGGGAAGCTGGGCTGTTGGAGGTGCCAGGTGCCGAGGCTGGTGCTTGGGTTAGTGTCCTCAGGGTGCAGGTGGCAGGCAGGCAGGCCTGGAGGGCCGTCCTGAGTCCCAGTCTGGCGGATTAATCAGCCAGACAGTTTTATCTGGTTTGCCAACGGAGAAGGAAGACACGGCAGAGCTGTTTGCCGGCCACAGGCTCTGCTCCCTGGGAGTCGTTTCCTCTCAAGCGTGTTTCTCCTGTGCAGAGCTGCCGCCGTGGCCGTGATGGTGCCGAGCGCCTCACAGGACGCCAGCGTGCACCCTCCTGCAGGGGACGCGGCACCAACCTCCGGTGACCTCGGGGGAAATAAAAATGTCACAGATGAGAGTTGAGTTGGGACCAGGTTGTGGCTTTTGTGTTTCTTGTCTTCACTCGAGACTAGACCCCGAGGAAACCCCAGAGGGTTCAACACCGGCCTCGTGTGGGTGGTGGTGATTGTGGGCGACAGGAGCAGCCCCTGCCACCCCGCAGAGAGACCCTGTGCGGTCTCCGCGGCGACACAGCCGTGCTCCACTCGCAGGGAGGGTTCGGGTGGCCCTCGGTGACTCTGTGGAACCGAAACGTCACAGGTGAGATCAGTCCACACTGTGCGTCTCTCTCAACAGCCCTCTTCCTGGGACCAGCTGCGTGTGGGTGGGAAGCTCTGCGGGACTGTTTGTGCTCAACCTGGCGAGCTTTGAACTGGAGGCCGTCTTACGTTACAGGGGTGAGCTCAATGTTCAGAGAACCTCTGATATAAATTTCATGTTAACTTTAATTTTTTTTTTTTTTACTGCTGTGGGGAATAAGTTTTAGGGTAGAAAGCCTGTCATTCGGAGTGAGGAAATGATGGGTGAGAGGGGCACCCTCAGGGGCGTGGGCACCTCTGTGTGCCAAGGCCCAGGGACACGCGTCTGGCTCTGTGGGGACCTCCCTGTGCTGGTCCCCATCTCCCAGGCCTCCCTCCTGTGCCCTCAGCCACCTCTCTGTCCTCCCAGATCCAGCTGGCATGTCGCTTAGCTGCGGGGTCTGTGTTCTTGGGGCACATGTCTGTGTGTGGTCAGCTGCACCGGCGGCTGGCCCTGCCCCATCCCTGCAGTGTCAGGAACACAGCAGATAACGTGTCCCTGAGTATCTGGTTCCTTTTCTTACCCCTTAAATGTGCTTGTTTCTTTCTCTTTGTGAAAATTCAGATTTTCAGAACCTCAGCATTCAGGTGGCCGGGTCATGTGCTGTGATGAGCAGCAATGACAAGGTCAGTCCGCGGCACTCCCTGCCCTGGTGTCGGGGCGTCTGTCCGTCTGTCCATACCTATGAATCGTGCTCACCAGCTCCCGCGTGTGACAGGGCCGGGTTCCTGCAGAGGTGTGTGTGTGAAAGCTGTTAATCGCAGTGCTGTGCAGACACCTGCAGCGAAGCCACAGAACCGTTGGTGACAGGCGAGGGCTCCCCGTGGAAAGGCTGTGTTTGCATTGGAGTCAGGTTTTCACAGTCGAGATGGTGTCACAGTCACGTCTCTCATTCTGCCATGCCCCTCGCAGGCCTTCTGCTTGCTCGCAGCCATGTTCGGAAATGAGATCACGGGCTTGGAGGTCAACCTGGCTGCTCTGGTGAGGTCCCAGCAGCGCCCCCACCTGGGAGCACATCTCTCAGTGCTGCCCAGGTAGGTCATCCCAGGTGGGTCTGCCCAGGTGGGTCTGCCCAGGTAGGTCATCCCAGGTGGGGGCTGCATGTGCCCGTTCATCATGTGGCAGGATTTAGAGTAAAGTTCAGTAAACTCCCAACTATCTTAACCTTGTTTGAAAGAAATTACTGCTCATGTTGTTGCGTCCACCTTGTATAAATTTATTTTAATGTGAAACTGCTGTATTTCAGGGTAGAATGTAGATTACAAACCAGCACTTTTATTGAAATACAAATTGGTTCCTTGGGAAGATGAGAGTGATCTTGACAGTATCCGCGCCTCAGTGTTGCAGCTATAGTGCAGGAGCCTTCGTGTGAACTGTCCTTAAAGCGTGCGCTTGGTTGGAACAACTCTGACATGTTTGTGCCCATGGTACAGTTTTCTGTCTTTATTTTAGCTCCTGTGTCTCATCGACCTCCCCTCTGTATTTTGGAATCGCTGAGGGAAAATGTACCAAGCCGGCTGGTCACAAACAAGCGGGTCAGTATAACATGCCCTGAAGTGTAGAGACTCAGACGTTCGTCATTAGCATCATTACACTGCTCGTGGGTTTGCGTTTGTTCAGGGCGCCTCTGTCTCCCTGCCCCTTGTGTGTTCTGTGGCAGGGAACTGAGTGTAATTCATAGGAATCCGGTGACTGTTAAGAATACGTGGTTGTTTCTCCAGTGGCCGGCACAGTGTGGACCCGTGGCAGGGGGCGCTCGGCGACGGGTTATCATGGGACCTTTTTCTCTCGTTTCTCTTGGCTGAAGAACTGAAAGCAATTCCAACTACATCATGTAATTTTACTGCGCACACTGGACCCGTTTTAAACACATGGGCATTTTCTTCCCAGGCACACGCACCGTATGCAAACTGACAGTGACCCTTGGTGTCTTGGATTAGCCAGGACACATAAATATGCTTCTCAAACATGTTTTTTCATCGCTTGTTCTAAGAAGATCCAAAAAAAAATCCACATGTTGCTTTTTACAAAGAAATACTTTGAAAAAGTATCTTGTATTTTAAGTGACATCTTTTATTTTATCCAGTGACCAACCCGAAGTCCTGGTCAGTCATGTGGGGCCTCTTACTGACCACAGAAGAAAACAGCAAGGTGTCTGTCAGTCTGTTTCCCTGTCCCATTGCCTGTCTCCCTCTCAGCCTCTCACCCC